TCCTTAAACTGATATCCTGCCTTTTATTGCAGTTCCCAAATTGAAGCATTGAATATCCAAATGTGCACTTTAAAGACTGACCTGGAGAAGGAACATGAGAAATGGCGTGTCGCTCAGAGAAATTACGAAAGACAGGTTTGTTAAGGCTCTCTATCTCAAGAAACATTTTGACTACCATGCATATTCACGTTGGTGACTATACGTTTGTTTTAATTCTAGTTGTTCTAGAAACTGACTTGATTTCATTACTCAAACGGTTGTTCCATTCATGAAACAGTGTCTTCTGAAAACTCTATCTTATCGCACCTTTTTGTCTTATAACAATCTGAGGATACTTCAGATATTTTCTACAATGAGTTTTACATTTCATATAATGCCTTAGTATGATGTTTGGTTCTTTATAACTTTAGGTAATACTACCATCTGTTGATTCTGTTCTCCTTTATTTCCGCAGGTTATTTTGCAGTCGGAAACTATTCAAGAGCTGACAAAAACATCACAAGCTTTTGCAGCCCTTCAAGAGGAAGCATCTGAACTACGTAAATTGGCAGATGCGCAGGGAACTGAAAATGTAACTTCTACTTGTACAAAACTTTACTAAAAATGTTATTGTGCTGATTTTTGACTCTTCAATTCAATTTTCTTTTGTTTCTCAGTCCGAGCTTAGTGCCAAGTGGAGTGAAGAAAAATTGATGTTAGAGCAGCAAAAGAATCTAGCTGAGAAGAAGTATCATGAACTCAATGAACAGGTGGGCACTGCTCTCTGATCTTTAGTTTTCAGCTTCTATTTGAGCAGTCTTATTGTTTCCATGCGAATATGGCCCCTAGCATCGATTACCTATTTGAATTTGTGTAGAGTTTTATTTCATGGTCATGTTACGAGTATTCGCATATCTTAATTACTCTCTGCATCAGAACAAATTACTTCATAGCCGACTTGAGGCTATGCATCTTCACTCGGCTGAGAAGGGTAGCTCCTCTGGAAAAGTATCGTCTGGAAGCAATGACTCGGACCAACTTGGAGATTCTGGGTTGCAAAGTGTAGTTAACTATTTGCGAAGAACAAAGGAAATCGTAAGAGCAGTTTCTTTTTAGGATTGCTTTGTCTTTCTTTCTTTCCCTTATGTGTACTCTGTGGTTATCTAAGTATTGCTTTGTCTTTACTCTGTGGTTATCTAAGTCCCGTGCACCTTTTTGACAGTCTGAAACAGAGATCTCGTTGATGAGACAGGAAAAGTTGCGGTTGCAATCGCAAGTGAGTTGGTGTCTTTCATTTTATGCCGAATTTGGCTACCATATCCCCTTTTTTTAGCAACAACCTTTCTCAATACCCGCATTCGTCCAAAGGGAAATAATTTGCTTACATGTTGTTGTTTAGCTTGAAAGTGCCTTAAAGATGGCAGAATCTGCTCGGGGATCACTTAGTGCTGAGCGGGCCAGTTCAAGGGCATCACTATTAACTGAGGATGAAATCAAATCTCTTCAGCTTCAGGTAAAGTTGGGTCATCTGAGTTCTAATGACTTGTGAGCTGATGATCTTGTTGCTTAAGTTCCTTTGAATCGAGTTATTATTTTGTCTGGCCATAACTAATACTTTGTGCCTGGAGTTTTTTCTTTAAAATTCCTGTAGTGGTGACTAGTTGAAACTAATTTCATTAGCTGACGTCAAAAGTCTCTTTATAGGTTAGTGAGATGAATTTGCTCCGTGAAAGCAACATGCAGCTCAGGGAGGAAAACAAACACAATTTTGAAGAATGCCAGGTTCGTAGTGTAACCTTCACGCATTTTCTTTTCTTATATCCCACTAGTAATTGAGCTCCCCCTCCTGATTCTGTTAGCATCTTAAATAAAGCTGATAAAATTTGTGTGAAACTTCAGAGATTGCGTGAGGTAGCTCAAAAAGCTAGGGCAGAATCTGAAAACTTGGAGAATCTATTGAAGCAAAAGCAAACTGAGTTAGACTTGTGCGTGAAAGAGATGGAAAAGCTAAGGATGGAGACAGATCTTCAAAAAAGGAGGGTTGATGAGGCAAGTCATTTTAAACTGTTTGGTCATATATTTTTAATTTGCTCATGCTTACAATCGCATTTTGCTTTGTAAAGTTGCGGGAGACGTATAGAAACATTGATGTTGCTGACTACAATCGCCTCAAAGATGATGTGCGGCAACTAGAGGTACACCAATAATGATAATGTGATATTGTTGAAATTTCTGCCAGTCTTTTTTTCATGGGTGTGCATGGTAATGATATCTTAAGTTCACTATATTTGTTTTCGTGCAATAAGATGCATGAGATGATACCATCGTCTAATGGTGGTTAGTTCTATCTCCTATATCCTAGATGATTATAGAACATTAGGTGCTTCATCTATTTGATATTGGGCTGGTAAGAGACTAGATACTATACTCATCATCGTATTGCCTGGTCAATGAAACATATGTAGGAATCGTTTTGAGAAGGGCCTCTTTGTGTCCTAGTGTGGGACCTCTCCCCAAATCTGAAATCTAGTCCTTGAATTTCTACCCTCTCACAAAGACCAACACCTCAACCATATGATTATTTATGTCTGACGTTGATTTACACAATGGCATATCGATCATCAAACATGCATATAACTCCTGTGTAGGATAATTGTCTTTTTGGTTGATAGTGTCCGAATGATGCGGATGCTATCAAATGTGTAGAACTTGAATTCTTGGGCCGCTCCACTGATTTTAAGCACTGCTTTTCCTTTTAGTTATCATATCCTTTTTGACGCCATGATCTGACTTGTAGGGGAAACTGAAAGCGAAAGATGCTCATGTTGAAGATTTCAATAAGCTTCTGTTAGAGAAGCAGAATAAGATATCGCTTTCAGAGAAGGAGCTAACAAACTGCAAGAAAGAACTGAGTGAGAAGGAGAAGAGGTTAGATGAAGCTCAGCAAGCACAGGTAGAATGAGAACTATCTCATTGAGGCCAATTTAGCTGTTACATGTAGAAAAAGAATTATCCCCATGAAGATATATTCATCCTGTCTCTCTACTTTTTTTCAGGCTACTATGCAGTCAGAGATTGAGAATCTGAAAACAGAGGTCACTAAGGTCAAGAGAGCTTATGTCGTGGCCAAGGTTTGAATTCATTAAATCTTGTTTCACGACTTCTTCTAGGTGTTTTTTATTTTAACTTGGCGACTTCTTTTATGTCATGAAGAAAAAATACGACAAAGACAAGGAGGATCTAAACAAAGAAAACCAGTCACTCTCTAAACAGTTAGAGGAAGCCAAACTTGGTAATTATTATTTTTAAACTCGGTTGGATATGTTTCTGTTGGTATTTGCTCATATGTTTTTTTGTTTGTTCGAAAAGCTGGAAAGAGATCCACAGGTGATGCTGTGGCCGAGCAGGCCGTTAAGGAGAGAGATGAAAAAGAACAAAAAATTCAGGTTACAAGAACGTCTTATTTGTTTGTGGATCCCTGATTTCTGCTTTCATGTGTTTGTGTGTTGTGTTCTATAATAAACACACATGAATTTTGCTGCAGATTTTGAATAAATATCTTAATCAACTGAAAGACGACCT